TTCCCCCTTTGCCTTGCCAGTCCATCCTGACTGTCAGCCTGTCCTACATGGTGGGGATGATCGCCAGCTTCTATGACACCGAGGCTGTCATCATGGCTGTCGGCATCACCGTCGTCGTCTGCTTCACCGTGGTCATCTTCTCCCTGCAGGTCAGCGCCAGGGCTGCCCCTGCTCCTGCCTGGGAGGCTCCAGACTGGGGGTACAACACCCCAGTGACTCTCTCTGGGCTCCTGGGGGGCTGTGGGATCCCCTCTCATGGGCCTTTGGACCCCACATGGGGTGTATAGCCCTCCTGAGCTCTCTGCTGGCTCTGGGGGCTCCACCCGGGTTCTGACCCCCCCAATCCCCCTCCCCACAGACCAAGTACGACTTCACCTCGTGCCGGGGCGTGCTCATCATCTGCCTGGTGGTGCTCGTGCTCTTCTCCATCCTCTGCATCTTCATCCGGAACCGCATCGTGGACATCGTCTACGCCTCGCTGGGGGCCCTGCTCTTCACCTGCGTGAGTCGGGGGGCTGGGACCCCCAGATGCTGGGGGGGGCAGTGCCACCAGCACCCCTGGGTGCTCTGACTCTGTGGGTACACACAGGGTGTGCAGGGTGTGCTCGGGGTGTCTGGCTGGTTTGGGATTGGGGGATTTATGGGACCCACTGGTTCCTCTCTCCCCTGACACTGCCCCAATACGCAGTTCCTTGTGGTGGACATGCAGGGTGTGCTCGGGGTGTCTGGCTGGTTTGGGATTGGGGGATTTATGGGACCCACTGGTTCCTCCCTCCCCTGACACTGCCCTGTCCTGCAGTTCCTGGAGGTGGACAAGCAGGGTGTGCTTGGCTGGTTTGTGGTGAGAGGGATTTATAGGACCTGGTGATTCCTCTTGCTCCCCACAGTGCTCTGTTCCACAGTTCCTGGTGGTGGACACACAGGGTGTGCTCAGGGTGAAGCGTGCAGGGTGTGCTTGGCTGGTTTAGGGTTGGGGTATTCATGGGACCTGTTGGTTCCTCCCACCCCTGACACTGCCCTGTCCCGCAGTTCCTGGTGGTGGACACACAGGGTGTGCTCAGGGTGTCTGGCTGGTTTGGGATTGGGGAATTTGTGAGACCTGCTGGTTCCTCCTGCCCCCACACTGCCCCATCCTGCTGTTCCTGGAGGTGGACACGCAGGGTGTCCTTGGGGTGGATGGTGCAGGGTGTGCTTGGCTGGTTTGGGGTGGGAGGGATTTATGGGATCTGCTGGTTCCTCCTGCCTCCCACACTGCCCTGTCCTGCAGTTCCTGGTGCTGGACATGCAGGGTGTGCTCAGGGTGTCTGGCTGGTTTGGGCTGGAGGGGATTTGCTGGTTCCTCCTGCCCCCCACACTGCCCTGGCCCACAGTTCCTGGCAGTGGAGGGTGCAGAGTGTGCTTGGCTGGTTTAGGGTGGAGGACACCTGTGGGATCCACTGGTTCCTCCTGCCCCTGACACTGCCCCGTCCTGCAGTTCCTGGTGGTAGACACATAGGGTGTGCTTGGGGTGGAGGGTGCAGGGTGTGCCTGGTTGGTTTGGGATTGGGGGATTTATGGGACCTGCTGATTCCTCCTGCCCCCCACACTACCTCATCCCACAGTTCCCTGAGGTGGACATGCAGGGTGTGATTGACTGGTTTGGGATTGGGGGATTTATGGGACCTGCTGGTTCCTCCCTCCCCTGACACTGCTCCGTCCCACAGTTCCTGATGGTGGACACGCAGGGTGGAGGGTGCAGG